CAGATTATGAACCCACATAGAGAATGATTATGGGCAGTTTGGTCCACTCCAGTGGAAGCTTAGTAAAGCATGTGTCTAAATAGAAGCTTGTCTTTGCAGGAGGAAGGTTCTTTTGAGGCTGATTTTTAAAAACACTTCACTATAGAAAACTGGTTTTGGAAGCCATCCCTGCTAATAACTTGCACATTCCCATATTTACCTGTTAGTGATCCCCGTATTCACCAGCTGGTATTTACCTGTTGAGAAGCTTTATGATGAAACTTCAAACTTGCCTTTCCTTTTTCTTGGAAAGCCTTCTTGTCACTGCTTAGTGGGGACATGCATTATTAATGAGTAGCCTGTGCTTAATAATTGAGTCTCGTAGTTGCAAGTCAATCATTTGAAGATTCATTTTTTTCACTGGGCTGGAGCGATAGCACAGCGGTAGGGCATTTGGCTTATGTGCAGCCAACCTGGCTTCGATCTCTCTGCCCCTCTCGGAGAGCCCAGCAAGCTACTGAGCTACCGAGAGTATCTCGCCCCCATGGCAAAGCCTGGCGAGCTCCCCGTGACGTATTCAGTATGCCAAAGGCAGTAACAACAAGTCTCAAAATGAAGACATTACTGGGCCCACTCGAGCAAATCGATGAGCAACGGGAGGACAGTGCTACAGTGCTACCTGGCTGGGCTGGAGCCATAGCACAGCTGGTAAGGCGTTTGCCTTGCATGCGGCTGGGCTGACCCAGGTTTAATTCCTCCGCCCCTCTTGGAGAGCCTGGCAAGCTACCGAGAGTATCTCGCCCGCACGGCAAAGCCTGGCAAGCTCCCCATGACATATTCAATATGCCAAAAAACAGTAACAAGTCTCACAATTTGTTGTGAGACGTTAGTGGTGCCCGCTTGAGCAAATCGATGAACAATGGGAGGACAGTACTACAGTGCTACCTAGCTGAATCTACAGATATGTTCATAACAGCTTTAATTTTAAAGAGAAGTAGAATCTCATTTTATAGTTTGGTAAAAGTGGTATTTGTAAAGGCATTATTATGGTTGTATTTTTTTTAAAAAAATGTGTATATGCTTATCTCTGTAATAATTTAAATGGAGCCCTAAACTTGTTGTTTTGATTTTGGGGGGGGTCGGGTTTGTTTTGTTTTTTATTTCTTTTTAGTGTTTGGTTTTGGGTCTCACCCAGCTGTATTCAGGGTTTGCTTCTGGCTCTGCTCAGGGTTCAGTGGGATGGTGGAGATTGAACTGGGATCAGCTACTTGCAAGGCAAGTAAGAGCCTCGGTCCCCATACTATTTCTCTGGCTCTTGAGATATATATGCATATATATACATCACTGTCACTGTCACTTTCCTCCCGTTGTTCATCGATTTGCTCGAGTGGGCCCAGTAACGTCTCCATTGTGAGACTTCTTGTTACTGTGTTTGGCATATTGAATACTCTCGGTAGCTTGCCGCGCTCTCCGAGAGGGGTGGAGATATTGAACCTGGCTTGGCCGGCTATATATATATGTGTGTGTGTGTGTGTGTGTGTGTGTGTGTGTGTGTATATATATATATATAGAGAGAGAGAGAGAGAGAGAGAGAGAGGCTGGAGCAAAAGCATAGAGGGTAGGGGATTTGCCTTGCACACAGCCAGCCCGGGTTCGATTCCTCTATCCCTCTCGGAGAGCCCGGCAAGCTACTGAATTGTCCTGACCTTGTTAATGAGGCATAAACCTCTATTTTTTTAAGTAACAAGAAAGACAAATTGATTTTTAGGATAGTTTGACAAAGAGAGAATTAAGAGATTCATGGTGTGGGTTGCATTTTAAAGTGAATTTTTCTATAATTACCTCAAAAGTCAGTTTAGGCATTTGCTTTTATATAACTTTCTAACTAAAATTTATACCCAAAATGAGGACATTTCTGGGTATTTGGGGTGACAAAGGATTGAGCTCTTATGGGGTCATTGAGCCTACAGTTTAGGTTTCAGTTTCTAGATATTTCCTGGAACAGATAATCAATTAGAAACACTTTAGAAATATGACTAGGAACAATGACAGCTGTATAAAAAATTACTTAGAAAATGGTTAATGGGATTACAATATTTCAGAAATACAATGTTCTGTGAAATTATTTAGAGAAAAACATTTTCAAAATCAGTTTTGCAACCAGTTACAGCCTACAATTCAATTAAAAAAAATTTTTTTTTGACTAGGGGATTAAAACTGCTCTGTGACCTCCAAATTCAGCATTCAGGAGGCTCACACGCCCCTACTGGGTTTTTTCTGACCAGGCCAGCTTTTCAGAGCCTGGGCTTGGGTTGCGCTGGTACTGGGGTTTTGCATGTGGGAGATTATGTGTGTCACCTGGACAGCGCTTGGAGTAGCTTAATAGCTTTTCCATAACTCGGGGATCTGTGTGATGCCAGGGATTGAACCTGGGTTGGCTATATGCAAAGCATGCACGCTGATCCCTTTACTATTTTCTCCAACCACTAGAGAAATTTCCTTGAAGTGTTTTAGTATCTAAGACCGAGACTTTCCTACTTAGAATTATGAGGTTAGTTTTTTAAAAAATAGAAATTTTTGCTTTTCTTAGATATTGGCATTATGATCTTTGACATTTCTAGTCACTGATTGTTTTTGTACTATGCTTTTTTTTCTGATGGCTTTGAATAATTCACAGTTTCTTTCTCCAGTAGAAATTGTCATGCCTGAATCAACTACTTATTGAGACTCTACTTTAGCCATTAATAGTTTTGGACTCTACTTAATTTTATCAGTAGGCCCAATCACATCCTAGCAATAAATGGGTATTGTGGGGAAAGGGTAAAAGAAATAATGTTGACAAGATTTTATAGTTAGAGTATCAATTTATCATTTAGATGGCAGCACTTAATACTCATAAACCTCCCCTTCTTTTTTTCTTGTGTTTTGCTGAATAATTGATATCCCTCAGTATTCTTTCTTTCTCCTCTAACAGTTCATAGATACAGGGGCAGAGGGACCAAGTGTCATAATCTCCACATAGTAGATGGGGGATAAGAGGTGTCTTGAGTAATCGTGTTTTTTAAAGGTACTTAGAAAAGGCATAACTACAGCGCCTCATTCCCAACCATTTATCTTCTGTGCTAGCTTATATACTGATGACATTGCCATTCAGAATATCATTAAGGTACCCAAAAGCTACATTTCTCTGTCCATTTGTATCAGTCTTGTGATTAATACGTATTATAAAGTAACAGTCATTCATTTTATTGTTCTTGTTTTGGGCCGCATGTGGCATTGCTTAGAGCTTTTTCCTGTACTCAGTACTCAGGGATCACTCTTGGCAGAGCTTTTCGTTTCCAGCAGTGAGGGATCACTCTTGGCAGAGCTTCAGGGACCATATTGGGTGCTGGGGATAGAACCCAGCTTGGTGACTTGCAAGACATGTGCCCACCCACCCACTGTCCTATCACTCTAGCCCCATCATTTGTTGAAGTATTGTAGGGAAAAAGTTTAATATACCTTTAGATGAACCTAGTTGTTGTTTTCATAAGGCATATGGCTAGCTATAACTGGAATAGCAACCTGTACCCTCTTTTTCTTTCATATCCCATCTATTTTGCTATAGCGTGTGTATGCAGGGTGGGGTTGAGGGGGTTTATTTTTTACCCATGGCACCATATAGGGGTGTGTGTGTGTGTGTGTGTGTGTGTGTGTGTGTGTGTGTGTGTTTACTGGGGCCAATGTGCAATGCTGTGGATTGAACCTAAGGCTCCTGCCTGCAAAGTATATATTCTATCCCCAGCCTTCTCATTATCCCTATTTCAATTGGAATTTTATCTTGGGCAAGTGTCACCCTCCCTTCCCCCTGAAAAAATGCAGACTTATATAACTCTTGTGCTTTGTAAATTTGTTAAGCTCAGTGTAGTATTTTTTTAAATTAGGGTAAAATATAAAGATTTTTAAAAATTTATTTGAGCTGCATGGTATACATTATTAACTTGGATCCATTGTAGTTTTAAAAATCATGTTTCACATTGTTTTAGTGCCTGTTGTCATCTTTCACACGTGACATTCTTTAAACATCTGGATTCATAAAAATCAGGTGTAACTTCTCTTCCTTATTCAAGGAGAGGTTCATGAATGAAACTGGTGCTTGCAGAATCTTAAAATTTAGTAAAACAAGTGGGCTGAGGACATGAGTGGTTCAAGTGGTAGAACATAATGCTTTGCATGTGTCATTTGGGATAGGTCTGGTGGCTCCCAAGCACCACATAGAATGTGCCCTCCCAGTAATACTTTTAAAAAATACATAAATGATACATTTAAAAGAACTTTAAAAGAAGGGTTGTCTATTTTTAATTTTTATTATTCAAAATTCTGATTCAAAATACTTGTATTTCCATATACATAACTTCAATACCATGCCCATCACAGTGTACCTAGTTCCCTCTCCCAAGAAACCCAGCGCCCTTCTCCCCATCAACTCAGTTGTGTGTCACTTCTTCCCGTGTGCCTTAGGCTCTTTTTTGCTACCTTACTGTGTATCTTTATTTAGGTTCCACATTCTGTGAGATCTTTCTGTATCTGTCCCTTTCCTTCTGATTTCACTCAGCAGCATATTCCATAGCTCCATTCATATTGGTGTAAATGGCATAATTTTGTTCTTTCTGAGAGCTGCATATATTCCATTGTGTGTATATATATGCAACAACAACTTGGAGGACCATGCAGCTGTGCATTCTCAGGGGGAGTGGACTTGCTCCTTCTTGTACAGAGTATGTTTCCAGAATCATTAAATTATCTTTCTGCTCCCTATTCCTCTTATGTTTGCAAAACTGCTTCAGTACCTATCATTAGTTTATGTGGAGGCTAACTGTTGTAAGCTAGAATTTTAGGAACAAAGCCACATTGTCTTTTATCTCTGGTAGGTATTTTCCAACTTTGAAATTTTTAATGTTGATTTGAACATAAGTAACAACCAACAATCATCTAGTTTTCATGTGGGATACTAAAATTTGTCTTCCTGTCCTTTTTCCCAGGCTGGTCGTAAAGAAAGAAGTGATGCACTGAATTCTGCAATTGACAAAATGACCAAGAAGACCAGAGATTTGCGTAGACAGGTAAGCTAGAAGAAATGCTGATTGTTTTACAATGTTCTCTGTAATTTGAGTTAAAATCTTATTAAGTACTTGGCCCCATCTGGTTTTCTAGGCTGAGACTGGAGTTTCATCAAAATGACTGCATCTGTTTTGTTACTAATAAGTTTCAAAATGGCTAATACAACCTCTTGGGTAGCTGGGTTGATAGAGTCCCACTGGGATGGTCTGAATAAATTAGACTTAGAGTAAAAATGATGTACAGGTAAGAAATCAATTTGAAATGACTTGGGGACCTTTTGAAGAGTCTAAAGAATTTCTTGTTACTATTATACATGTAATGAGGACAGAAATTGCAATTATTTGTTTGACTCCATTTTGATTACATACTCTGTTTCCTTAGATTCTTCTTCGTAGAGTTGTATAGTACAGATGTGGTGATACACAATTGGTGTATTCAGTTTTCTGATATAGTCGATGCAGAAGCAAGACACTCATTTACTATTATATAATTTTGTTAACTGCTTTGAAATCAAACTTTTTGTTTTTCAGAAAGGTAGCATTGAATAAATTATAAAACAATTTATTAATACTAAAAGAGAAGATGTAATAATACAATTTCTGATTTTTTGAAAGTTTTATTGTTCAAATCAGACTTTAATGTTCATATTAGGCTAATCTGGTTTAAGATTAAGTTTAAGAAAGTGTTTTCTTTCCTCTGTTCTCATCTTTATTTAACTGGTTGGACTGATAACATGTACTTCGAGGCTATGTGCCAGGTCAATTTAGAGCTACTTTCTTTTTGGTTTTATTCCTTTACAATATCAGCCTTAGTTTTGTAATTCCGGGGACCGGCGAGTAGGTTGTTAATAGTATTGTGAAAAGTGAGTAAACTTACTAAAAGGCTGTAACCTTAGTGCAAATCATTATTTCCATCAATATATACGCTCTATGTTTCAGATTATATAACAGTATGGCTTACATGCGGTGTTCTTATCAAGTAAAGCCAAATTACATTGAGCTGTAAATGTTCCATATGATTTAAAACTACAAGTGTAAAAAAGCAATTTCTTGGTAGAAATAAAAATTTTTACAATTTAATTATTAGCTTCGCAAAGCTGTCATGGACCACGTTTCAGATTCATTCCTGGAAACCAACGTTCCGCTTTTAGTGTTGATTGAAGCTGCGAAGAATGGAAATGAGAAAGAAGTTAAAGAGTATGCCCAAGTTTTCCGTGAACATGCCAACAAATTGATTGAGGTAAGCATTTTCGCAGTTTCATTAACTTTAAGAAGTTTGGGAGAATATAGTGGGGTTTTTTCTTTTTTTATTCACATTATTTAATCTGCTAAAAAATTTTAGGGGCTCACCTAATGTCATAGGCAGAGAATCCCTTAGTACAAAGGAAGGTTCTTGTCTTGTCCATAAAGATTATTTGACAGGACCCAGGAAAAGTACACTAATGATGCATAATATGTGTGTTGGGAAGGCGTATCTGGGGGAAAGAAGACCATTGCTCTCAAGTGTTCTGTTGTCTACCTCATTTATTATTTGCTAGGCTCTTTGGAGGCCTACTGTCTAGCACTTCTAAAAGGGCACTGGCTCTCTGGGTTACTTCCAGTCAGCTTGGTTCCAGTCAGCTTCGTCACTGCTCATATCTGGTCTCTTAATGCATGCATGTCTCTGCAGGCCTTTTGGATTCTTCTTGGGCTGTTTTGGAAAAACCTGCTAGTTTCAGATTTAGCTTTGCAATATCCTGTTAGGAGGTGACTTAGGCAAGAAATTATTTGATGTGGGTCAGGGGTGTTTAGTTTCTGGGCACTGGTTCCTTAACAGTCCTTATCATTAATACAGGATGTTTATATGATGAAGATCTTTTGATTTTATTAATTAAATGCTGGATTAAATATAGATGTTCTCTATCTTAGAAAAATGTTTTTATATCCTATGGTGTTCAAGGGCTATCCCTAACTCTGCTAAGGAATAAGCTTAGGGCACATATTTGGTGCTAGGGATTAAACCAGGGTCAGTGGAATGCAAGGCAAGCACTTGAATCCCTCTATCCCCTCCACATAATGTTAATTTAAGTAAAGATCAATTTTGGCATACCTGAGTCTTGCATCTGTTAAGTTGCTTAAGGTCTCTGAACTTCGTTTCTTGTTTATAAAATAAGGATACTGATATCTGCTTCACAATTATTTTTAGGTCCAAAGAGATGTCAATGACAACTATTTAATCCTTTGCCTGGGACACAGACTTAACCCAATCATCATACTTTTGTTTCTTTTTTTTTTTTTAAGAAGCTTAGCTCTAGGCCAGAGAGATATGGCAGGTAGAGAGCTTACCTTGCATTTAGCTGATCTGGCTTCATCTTGGCATTGTCCCTCAAGCCTGCCAGGAGTAATTCCTGAGCACCACTCGGTTTCCCCTACTGTGCCCTCCCCCCAGAAAAGAGGAAAAAAGTCTTAGCCCTAATATGTGCTGATTAGAGATCTTTAAATAGTAAGAAGTCTGTATGTGAGCAGTTGGTTTATAAGGGGAAAAGATTGATAATTTCCAGGTAAGTTAGCCTTTCTCCCCTTTTTCCATAACTATATTTTGTTATTAGCCATTATTTTATTTAAGGAATTGATACATAGTAAGATCACCATCATCCTGTTGTTTGTGGATTGCCTCGAGCAGGCACCAGTAACGTCTCCTTCGTCCTAGCCCTGAGATTTTAAAAGAGCCATATTCAGTGCTCTTTCAGGTTAGGAGAATGAGACCCATCATTGTTACTGGTATTTGGCATATTGAGTACAACACAGGAAGTTTGCCAGACTCTGCCTTGTGGGCAGGATACTTTCAGTAGCCTGCCGGGTTCTCCAAAGTAAGAACGAGTTGCGGCTGTGTGCTTCCGGGAGCTGGGTTTTATAGTCTCTGGGTCTTGGCCGTTGATGGGACCACGTGGCGCCAGCGGCAGCTGGTGGGTGTGACGCCTACCTACTGGAAGATGGAGGATCTGGGTGGAGAAGGCCCAGTCCCAATCCGAGCAGGCTTGGACATCTCAGCCCCGGAACCTGCATGCCTGGGTTCCTCTGCCGGTTCCTTCATGCATGAGGCTTGTTCAGACGTGTGGAGAGTGGTCTCAGCATGGCTGTGGCTGGTTCTGGAGGTCTTCGGTTCCCGGGGCTCTGCTCGGGGCGAGGAGGGAAACTCAACCCACCCCCCTCCAAGGGGCCTTGGTGAGGACAGCCAGTTGTGGGGGCAGGAGTAAGAATAGACCAGAATTACTTGATTCTGTAACCTTAATACACCCTCTAATGTTTGAGAAAGATAATCTATAGTCTCTGATAAAGTGGCCTTTTAGTAAGAATATTTTGTGAAAATGTACGTCATGTATATTTGGATTTACAGTAACATTAGACCAGGTTAATACTATAAAAATATTGCAAATATTGCAAGGAAAACATCAGTAATCATGTTCAGTGCATTATTTTATATATAATTTTCTTTGAACGTGAAATGCATTCTTACTACAATTAATAATATATAGGATACATAGGCTAACCCAATCCAAGCCTGCTCGGATTGGGACTGGGGCCTCCTACACCCAAATCCCCCATCTTCCAGGCGTCACGCCCACCAACTGCCCCTTGGCGCTGTGTAATCCCATCAATGACCAAGACCCAGAGACTATAAAACCCTACTCCCGGAAGAGAACAGCACAGTCTCCTGCCTGCACACCTGGCTGTCCTCACCAGGGCCCCTTGGCGGAGGGTGGGTTGAGTTTCCCTCCCTACCCCGAGCAGAGCCCTGGCAGCTGAAGACCTCCGGTTCCAGCCACAGCCATGCTTAAGACCACTCTCCACACGTTCGGACAAGCCTCATGCATGAAGGAACCGGCCGAGGAACTTAGGTGTGTGGGACTTGGGACGTAGATCTCCAAGCCTGCTCGGATTGGGACTGGGGCCTCCTCCACCCAGATCCCCCATCTTCCAGGCATCACACCCACCAACTGCCCCCGGCACCGTGTAATCCCATCAACGGCCAAGACCCAGAGACTATAAAACCCTGCTCCCGGAAGCGACATCTTATTATCTAGGTCTTACTCTGGAGAACCTGGCAGGCTACCAAAAGTATCCTGCCCACACGGCAGAGTCTGGCAAACTCCCTGTGGCATATTTAATATGCCAAACACCAGTAACAATGATGGGTCTCATTCTCCTGACCCTGAAAGAGCCTCGAATGTGGCACTTTTTAAAATCTCAGGGCTAGGACGAAGGAGACATTATTGGGGCCTGTTTGAGGCAATCGATGACCAACAGTATGACAGTCATACAGTGATAGGCTAACCAGCTAGTTACTAATTACAGCCTTTGAAATTAAAATCAGACTTTGATTTTGATCTCTATAATCTTATTCTGAATAGTCACAAAACAGCATGAAGTGTAAGCTCCAAGTGTAAAAAGTTACCTTTCATTCGCCTATGTCTTATATATACCTTGCATAATAGAAAATATTGTGAACCAGGAAGCACAGCACTATTCCCAAGAGCTTGGATAACAGGTACCAACCAGGAATGGAACTGGAAAGTGTCCAATATGGTAGCAGTGCCTTAGAGAGCTACCCTTGTTTTTACCATAGCCAAAGAACCCTTTAATTAGGGCTTATTTTGTTATTCTTAGACATCCTGGCCAACATTTGACACTTGCTGAGCCCCTCCTGTATACTAGGTGTATGTAAACACTATATACTTCCCACAACTGCATTTCTCAGGTAAGGGAACTATGGCTTAGATTAAGTGATTTGCTTCCGGCCATCCTGGCGGCTTCTCTCCATCAGTGAGGGCTGTGCCACTAGAGCACTCTGGCTTCCTGGGCCACCTAGTGCCCAATAAGAAGATTAGGAGCAGCTGATGGCTTTGAAGCTTTTCCTGTACTTGTACTCCCCCCCCCCCTTATTTATTTATTTATTTATTTATATTAGTGAAACACCATGAGGTACAGTTGTAGATTTAAGTACTTGTACTTTTTATTTAATTCTAAACATCACTACTAAGGGCCCTTCAGGATCTAGAGTGTGGTGTTATTTTCTTTTATAATTCCCATCTGACCTTTGTCTTACCTTTTCTCTTCTTGCCTTCCATATCATCACCCCCACACCTATGTATATTAAGTGACATGGGTTTTCATTGTTTGAGGCATAACCAAAGTCATTGCAATATCATTCTGCAAACAGTTAAATTGCGTTTATAATAATAGAGATCCTAAGATGTATAATTGCATATGTGCACAAAAGGAAATTAGTTTCTTTAAAAGTGTTGTACAAGCCTCAAGTTCTTGACTTAAGCTGGAACTTTATTCTTCAGTGACAAGGCTTCTCCTCCCCACTTATGATTTATAATGAAACAGAACTAGTGAGAGACTTGTTTTAAGAACAGGTAAAATACTTAATTGGAATCGGAATCGTTTTGTGATCACTCAACTTCTCCCTTTCTTTTTATTGGTTCCTTTCCTGTCCCCCGTCCCACCCCCCACCCCCACTTTTTTTTGGGGGTAGGTGCTCAGACTGATAACTGGCTGTGTACTCAGGGATCATTCCTAGGAGGACTTGGAGGACTCTACAGGGTGACAGGGATCAAACTTGGTTCCTTTTTAAGTTGTTTAAATATAAAAAACTGTGCAAGAGGGAGAACAGTGCAGTCCCTGCCCCCCGCGCCTGGCTATTCCTCGCCGAGGCCCCTTGGAGGGGAGCGGGTTGAGCTTTCCTCCCCGCCCTGACCAGGGCCCCGGCAGCCGAAGACCTCCAGGACCAGCCACCACCATGCTGAGACCACTCTCCGCACATCTGAAGGTACCTGCAGAGGGACAAAGCCACGTGGGTTCCGGGGCCGAGATCTCCAAGCCTACTTGGATTGGAGTCGAGCATCCTCCACCCAGATCCTCCAAATTCCAGTAGGCGGGGATCACACCCACCAACTGGCCCCCTGGCGCCGTGTAATCCCATCAGCGGCCAAGACTCAGAGACTATAAAAACCAGCTCCTGGAACTGCGCGGCCACATTTGCGGCCACACAACATCTTATTATGACATCTCATTCCTACTTTGACAAACTGGCAGGCTACCAAATGTAGCCTGCCCACACGGCAGAGTCTGGCAAACTCCGCGTGGCGTACCCAATATGCCAAATACCAGTAACAATGATGGGTCTCATTCTCCTAAAGAGCCTTGAATATAATCTCAGGGCTAGGATGAAGGAGACGTTACTGGGGCCTGCTC